ACATTCACGCTGAATTTTCGTTTAATCTCAATCACTTTAGTGATACATAGCAACTTGGAACTGATTTGAACCTTTAGTAATATTAAAGGATTTTAATTCATCTGTGCCATGAACAATAGCTCAAAAGTAGGTATTGAGCGATAATAATGCTGTCAACTTTTGCACCTTTCAGACGCGTTTCTTGAAATACTCTCGTAAATCATTCCGCCTGTTCGTCTGATGTATTTGCTTTAGCATCTATTTAATTAGATGTCTTCCGAATAACTGGTATCCTATTGTGTTTATCGATGAGGATATTTATGAGGATATCGATTGTTTCGTGAAAAAACACTTTCTAAAGACAACAAGTGCAACCTTTACTCCTACGATTCGTTAACTCTTGCATCCTGCCTATTATTCTCCGGGGCTACTGAAGAAAGACTATACCTTATTACGCAGGATATAAAACGTTGTCAGCGGGGTAAGCAAAGTGTCACTTAACCAGCTTGTTAACATTCTGGTTGACAGGCACTTGGACTCATGTGAAAAATGGGCTAAATCCATTCTATCTATCTAACTCACACCACCCTCTTCATTCACAACTCTAACTCCCCTTGTATCTCATCAGGCAGGCAGAGAAGAAGCCTATATAGGAAACTATATGCTCGCACCAGCAAGTACAAAAACTCAACCATACCCTACTTAGCTCGTGTTCTGTGAGATAAAGAAAGCATTAGGCTTGATACCTATAATTTATTAAATAGTCAGTAGAACAACTGGATCTCGTCTTTCCAACTCATATCATTTAAGGGTACAATGTTTTCTTTCTTTCTTTTCCTTTTCTCTTTTATTCTTTCTGTTATGTGCTGTTTAGTTTCTCTCTTCCTTACAAACTCTACATAGAACATTCTTCTTCGTTCTTTCACACTCTGTATATCTCGACCTTTTTGTTACCGCTTACACCAGTAAATATGCTAGTAGTATCTACCTTTCTAACACCTTCAAACACTCTGTTCAATTTCGGCTTTGTTACCGACACGCCAATATGTTGTCAAAACTAACTGAGATTACCCTTAATCTATGTAGAATTTTATTCATTGTAAATGTACTAACTGGATGCAATACTGTGGGGAAATGCTGAGAATTCCATTCTGTACCACAAGTACTGTTTTTGAATAAAGCAAATTATTACTTTTATTATTATTATTATTATTATCGTGAAGTCTTTTACGACAATATCCTTCAGATTTGTAGAACATTCTCGTCACGAAACCTTTTTATAGATATAAGAATAAAACTTGTGCACTGTGGTAGAGTGTAATTCCATTATGGGTAAATTTTGTTTGATAAAGTCTCACAGCGTTATACAGTAAACATTACTGTATAACGCTGTGAGACTTTATCAAGCAAAATTTACCCATAATGGAAACCTTTTTATAGCCTAAACTGGACCGTTGAAATTCACATACAGTCTATTTCGAAATTCTTCATCATGAATATATCTCTGTATCCATCTACCCACCCATCCATACATCTGTAGTTGATTAAATTCTGGGATCAGGGAAACGATCTGAAATATATACATATAACGACGTCATTTTATCCCTGCTGAATGAACACGTTCTTCTTGTTCTATTCAAATGTACCAAGAAACACAGTTGTGCGGACTTGCCACATAGTCATTATATGACGTAAAAGAAATCAGTATAGAAAAAATCCCCATTTAGATGTTTAGGAAACAGAAAGATTGAGTAGCGAAGAAATATTTACTTTTCAATTAGATCCTCATCTCTGGCTCTACTCTAATATGCACGTAGAGCATTATTATTACAATACACAATAATTTACCAATCAAGTGGCACTGATATGTTTGTGAACAATAATTAAACAGTGTCAACATGTCAATGGGTTAATAATTAACGAAGAAAATCAATACACATAATTAAAAGGTAGAAATGGTTAGAATAAATTAATTTTACAAGGATAACACGTAATTAAAGATGAAGTGGCCAGAAAAAATAAAATAATTTGGACAATTATAATTTTAAAGGTTTAGTGGGAGGGGGGCGAAGTAGTCCTGTTTATGCATTCTTGTAACGATGGCCACGGTAAGGAAAGTGGCTGTACAAATTTTTTCTGAACACATAGGCCTGGCTTCTTCAGGTGAATTCCTATTGCTTCATCTGTAGGGTATGTAGAAGACGAACTCGTAGAGCAAAATTAAGATTAGTCGGAATGGGATAAATAACTTTAAATGCAGTATTAAAATCAACCTTATGCTCAGTATCAACAAGGTGTGCTAAAATAGAACTACGAATAGATCTTGTTTGTCCCTTGCTTCACGATGTTGGATGATGTTCGGAAATACGATGATGAACCTGCCTAATTGTACGCATGATGTAGCTGCCTCCGCAGCTGCAGTCAAACTGGTAGATACACATAGAGGGGAGGCAAATTTAGGTAGTTTATCCTTATTTCTTGAACGTAGAATAGGGGTGGTTGTGAAGAGACAACGTACCTCTGCTGTATAATAAGCTCTTTTAACTGCATTCTTCATGCGCTGTGTTATTATTTCGCTGATGTCGTTACCGAGGAACTGCAATTTTATGAACATTGGTTTTTTCGGAACTGTGGCCATACTGACTCTCCATGGTTCTGAATTTATATTTTTCTCAATGAATTCATCTGGTTAACCATTTTTTCTAAGTAATTCTCTAATAATCTTAAGCTCCTCATTGAAGCAGTCGTTTGAACAGATTAACCTGGCTCTATGATGAACCAGACACTTTACCAGGTTACGTTTATATTTCAGAGGTACAAAACTCAAAAAATGAGTGTACTGAACTGTTGTAGTAGGTTTCCTGTACACACCCCTTCTTAGTATGTCATCTTCTTTCCTTGCCATGAAGACGTCTAGTAATAAGATGCTATCATTTCTTTCTTTCTCTTTGGTAAAGTTTATTGCTGAATGTGCATCATTAAACTTGTCAAGAATGTTCATTGCATCATTCTCGTCTTTTATAACCACAAATGTATCATCCATATATCGACAGTAGAAATCCATGTCATTAATTACTCCTTTCAGTGGTCCATTCTCTAATTTAGCGAGGAAAAAGTCAGCTAGAATTGGACCAAATGGGGAACTCATAGCTACACCATCAATTTGTCTGTAATATTCCTTATTGAATAAGAAATGAACATTCATTGTACATCTTAAAATGAATTCCTCCAAGGTGGATACAGTGGATCCCGATGCCTATGTTTTGTATAGTAATATCCTCAACATATAAAATCCACTGTCTCCATTAACGGTACATTGGTGAACAAGGAGGATACATCAAAAGATATCATAAACTTGTCCCTCACATTAAAATCTCTTATTTTTCAACAAATTCAAAACTACCGTTTACACTATGTTTTACCACTTCATTATGCAGAAGCTTTATTAAGAGCTTCACTAGTCATTTTGCTGTTTCGTGATATGGAGAATTACACATGTCCAACACTGGTCAATGCGGCGAACCGATTTTATGCACTTTTGGTAGTCCTTATAATCTTGGTGTAACCGCGCTAGTAGGCTCTAAATATTCATATAAACCGTCTATGATGCTACTTTGTTGTTTAATTCTTTTTAGTGACTCAATTCGTTGTTTCTCCACTTTTTCTGTCAGATCGAAGCAAGATGTAATTTTTTTGAAATTTTCGATGATCACTGAGTATTCCATTTATCTTATTTATGTATTTAGTTTTATTCATTATTACTACATCAGAGCCTTTATCAGGTTTCGAAATCATTATATTCTCATTATTTCGCGGCTTATCTAGCGCATCCCTGTGTTTCTTAGACAATTAGCTATTTAGTTTCCGTTTACCACTTATATATTTATATCAACAGTCAACGAGAGTTGATTTAAGACTTTCAACTGTCTCAACTGACGAGGGTGTCAAGCCTTCAGTTTGTGCATGAAAGTTTTCGAACTGGACTTGCATATCCATCTTGTTAATTCTAACATGATTATTATAAAACTTGGTGCCTAGGGATAATACTTGCAAATCTATGTCGTCAAGGACAACATCGGGAAAATTATAAACATACCGACCAGGGTTTGGCGGAAATCGCATTTCTGGAGTTTTGCTTTCCAGGCTTTGTAATAATTTGGCACGTGCCAAAGTATTGAATGAAAAAGGACAGAAATTGACTTATCTTCTGAATTCTTGTCGAGGGAAGGCAAAAAAGTCCACTGAGGCGTGTACAGGATTTCCTTGAGACCTCGACAAATGAAAGAGCCGTGTAGATACTTAATGATTTATTTGGACAAGGACATAGGATCGCTTGTTCACTTGTTGGTGAACTTGTAAGGGATTCTGAGCCCATTAGCAAGAATGTATCTGATCTCACTGACTTTACTGTAAGTCTCGACAGCTCTCATATCCCGTTTAATAGCAATCGATACATTCCTGGTTCGAATTCTCTCATATATATCTAGAACGAATTATCAACCGTATCTCCATAGAAAAAATGCAGATGAAGTGTAGTGACGTAGTTGACAAAATTTCGGGGCCCAGTAGATACCTTCAGTTCAAGGATCTGATTAAACTTGCAGAAGAGAGAGCGCTAGTGTGTCGAACACTTTACGGATTATCACCTAGGTGCAAGGCGGATACCGATAGTTCATATGAGGAAAAGTACGATCTGTAAGACAGCGGTTCAGATACGTCGCTGGTTTCTGGAAGGATCATCAAAAAGTTGGGCATTGGGAGGAATGACTCATGGCGCGGTATGGGGAATTAAACATGTTGTATATTGTAATAAAAATGCTGCATATCGATTAGAGTACAGCCGAAGATCAGGATCTAATTGAAGATAAAATAAATCGTATTGTGTTTCCTAATTTAATCTAATCGCGGGAAATAACCCGAGAAAATTTATCTCTAAATAGTGAGTTAATTGTGTTATTTTTAAATATCCACCCCGGTGTAATCCTTTCTTCCTTTCTTCCCGTCTTCGTCTCTTCTTCAAGTCTTTAAAGCAAAACCGCCTACAGAACCAAGTTTAGCTCAGTACAAGCGTTCAGCACGACCAGATAAACAAAAAGCAAAACCAGAGGATAAATTTGACGTCTTTCATTCGAATGGTGGTTATACAAAATCACCTGAAGCCAACAATCATATCTCATTATCACCTGGTCAGGAAACAACACCAACAATAAATGCTACTCCCGCTAAACCATCTAACAATGATGATACTGTTGCTGATCAACTTACAGCGGATAATTTTGTTGTGCATATATCTCTTAATCAACATGGTGATAAAGTCTATGCCGATAATAGTAAAGATAATCCTTCCTATGAATCTCTACGACATTATGGTAAAAATGCTACAATTCTAGCCGCTTTGAAACGTTTATTCAGTAATCTAGGATTTGTATTATTATTTTTAAGTTATGGTAAGTTATATTTTACTTTTTTTATTTTGAAGTTTTTCCCATTAATTAATTATCTTGTGAAAAAGAGAAGACATTCACCAAAGGAATTCATTCACATAGCTTGTATTTAGATGGTTGGAGGCAGGCAATCGGCCACAGGAAGCCTTGACCCTAGATTTAGTGCTAGCTGGCAATCATCAGCAAGGCGTATCTACAACCTTGAAGGAACTCATGGCCTTTCTGAGATTTAAACATGGCAAGTTTGACTGATAGAATTCAGTCTGCACTGAAGATAGGACTAGATACACACACACACACATCACACCAGTTTCTGACTAGTCTCCAATCAAAGTATCAAGTACAGTCCTACAGGAGGTCAATAGTCAGGCCGAATAGCTCAGTGGTAACCTTTCTGACTGCAGTGCTCACTGGGTGACGCGGGTTTGAATCTCAGAAAGGATATGAGTTGTTCCTTAAAGGTTGAAGACACGCCTTGCTAACTGGTGAGTGCAAACTAGCACGAGAACTAGGTCAATCAAGGCTTCCTGTAGCCGATTGCCTCCAACCATCTAATACCAACATTTCACAGTGTACCGTAATGGTGAGCCACCTAGTGGCATGGTGGCCACATTGCAAGCTTGACTGATAGAATTCAGTCTGTATCGAAAATAGATACATTACACTAGTTAATAATAATCATTTACATAGCTGTACAATCACGTTTAAATTCGTTACAGGAATCCGGTCATGAGGTGACATTGATTAGACCCAGCTGTCTCCTTCGTCCTAGTTTGGGACTGTTCATCAGTACGGACACACTGCACATGAGCTCTAACCCAGGACATTCTAGTTACATGGCCAGATATCTCGCAGACCATTAAGCGACTCACCGGAACCCGATCCAATGGTCCATGAATTCTAACTTCTGCTAATTCACGTCATAGCGCGACCACTTCGCAATGTTATTTTCGGTGAGTTACTGCCTCATCTTCAACCTGCTATACCCTACTTGTCAAGGCTACCCACTAGAATATATGTTCGAATAATGTCATATTTCACTGTCTAGTGAGCAGTACTGGTTGGTATGAGTGATTTCCAACTATTCTTATATTAGCCAATCAGTAAGTAGTATGCTGGGGGGTCGGAGAGTATGGTTTTAGACCATTTTTTGCATGTATTCACATGCTTATCTACTAATGTAGTGACGAGCTGGCTGAGGTTTACACCACTAGTCCTACTAACTACCTTCAACATCCTTTTCAGGATGGTGAAGTCCTTTTTCAGTACCCCAGGAAAGACTTATAGGAAGCAGTAAAGTAGAATAGGTAAGATACGAGAGTTGACAAACTGTGAAAGTAAAGGTTGAGTGATTTCAGATAGTCTGAGTTCCTTAATGTAGTAGGTTAGACGGAACACTTTCTTAGAAATCGTTACGATATGAGATGACCATTTAAGGTTGGAAGAGAGAGAACTAATCCGAGGTATTTTGCATTAGACTTCGTTTCTATTTTTAGTCCCCTCAGCGCTACAAGCTTCATGAGTACTTACGAGTGTTTGTAGATCTCGTTTATGTCATCGTTATCTAAGTCTTCAATTCATTATCACTTCTCTAGCATAAAACTACTTTGTTAGATAGTGTCGTAAAAACAAAATACCATGTACCATGACGTCAATAAACTGCTATGAACTTTCGTGTGTTTGTGTGAGTGTGAGTGTGTGTACGTTGTTAGCTAAGAGAAATTCTTTTACAGAAATACTGACTGACTATTAGTCACATATTTCTGGTATTTTCATGATTTATTATGAGAGTATTTCAGAGTATATCAGTTACTTAGTTAGTTAGTATGTATGTTTGTATGCATGTGTATGCGTGTTTCAATTGTGCGCATACACTGTAAACGTGTTGTTCAATATGTTCAATATAGAACCGGTCAATGTTATTGAGTTTTAGTGATTTAAAGTTCAAGGTTAATTCTTGAAAGGTAGCCAAAATAAATACCTTTAAGAAATATTGGATGTATTGTAGAAATTTAACTTCTTTAGGAGTTGATGCCAATTCAAAGAAACATTGAAAACTGAATTACACTGGATGTCTGTTTCTTGGCAGGCTTAGACTGTTCAGCAATGGACGTCCATGATACTGTAAGGAATCAGAACCTACATCTTAGCGTTAAACGTTTAAACAGTTAGTTGGAATCTAACGTCTCATAAATCGAAATGCTTGAAACTACTTTCCTATGAAATTATCTAATACAATGAGTCCTACAGGAGGTTAATCGCAAGACCGAAGGATTTAGTGTTTACGTCTCTGACTGCAGTCATCACTGGGTGACGCGGCTTTTAATCTCAAAATGGATATGAGTTCCTTCAAGTCTGTCGCAGATACACCTTTCTGACTGGTGAGGGCCGACTAGCCCGAGACTTAGGTACTCCCGACAAGGCTTCCTGTGGCCGATTACCTCCAACTATCTAATATCCTAAAGTTGTGTTGCCAGTACAGCCTGCCAAGTCACTTGTGTCATTGGGTGGAGATTGACAGAGATTAAAATTCTTGGGTGATTGCATTCCAACTCGATGGTTGAATAGGCAACATGCTCGTATCGTAACAATAAAGTCTTTCAATGTATTGCCACTTGTTTCGAATAGAATATTTATTAATTCAACTAAAGCTTTCTTAAAGAATTTCATGGCTTGAAAATGATTACCTCTAATTTTGTAGTTCTTAAAGCCCACAGCAGATTTTACACACTTACCAATCTCAAAAGAGGAAGTACCGAAAGTCATGTTGTATTGGGTATCTGTGTTGTGTTGACTTGAAAACTTTCAGTGCCTAGCAAGTTAGACTGATATCGAAAGTCGAGGTATCTCTTCTCATTACAGAACTCTTAGTCTTGTAGTCTTCTTTTTCGTTACTTTTCTCTTGGTGAAATGACTCGAAATTGCTCATTGCGGCTCAAATGAATTCGCTCTCCATTATGTTGGAAATTCGAAAGCTTTTTCTTCTAACCCTTGCCTTAATTAATCCCGTTCAGTCGTATATATATGTATATACAAATGTTAGGTGTCCACAGGATGCGCCACTTGTCGGCATTTTTTGCTAGCAACAAGATGTATCTGCTACCTGGAAGGCATGAATATACTTTCCGATACTGTATTCTGGTATATTCTATTTTCTGCAGAACGAATCCCTGAGCTAAGCATCATCATTGAACTTAGCATGGAATGACAGTTAAATGTTTATCTATCTTAAGTTTTTTGACTTTACTCGTGAAGTAATTTACAAACTGCTTCAACCATGCGAAGTGACACAAATCTTTATTAACCTGATGAAATAGTTATAGGATGATTTCACATGTCATTTGATTGGCATCAGAAAGCTCGGTCAAGCGTCTGAAGTGGGAAAAGGAGTAATACAAGGATACTTATGAGCCGGCAAAAAGGCCACGCTCATCGTAGCTTTATTTCAAATCCGCCTAGTTACTAAGAGGCTGTATATGTATATAATATTGATTGACAATTGAGGCGAGATTTCGTTTGTCGATTCATATTTTGAATTGTGCTGGACTGAATGGATCTTGCATGAGAAGTAAGAAGACAGGGATAGAAAAGAAAAAGAGGACTGCAGAAATATTTTGACGGCGCTGAATTGAATAACATCGTTACGAAAAAGTAATTCTCAAAGCAATGCCGAAAATAGATCCAAAATCATGACGACTGGGAAGAAAGCATTAATCTTCAAAATTTTTGGTATGGATAAAACATCAACAAGATTCCAAAAGTTTTAAATATCTTCAGAGGCATTTTCAGAAGCATAACGCGTACTGGCAACTAGAGGGCATTTTTCCATGTCCTTTGAGACAGGAGAAATTAAAGTAGAAATCTCTGCAACTGGATTGGTCGGATCTCCTGGTTTTTCACACTAGATTTTAATGCATGATAGGAATCCGTAAGATGGTAGTCAAACATCAACCTCAACAAGTTCGTAGACTACGGAAAGGCCTGCGTCATACAGCGTTGACCAAGAAGTAAATTGGAAACTTCTTCGATACTACCGCTTGCAGTGACCACGACTTTAAAAACCTAATTCAACAGGTGGCTGTATGACAATACCTGCCTTGCATCAGTTGATTCACGCCGAAATCGAGGTTGACATATCATATGACATGGTGTTTTAAAAATTTTCTTTTATGTTCTCAGTGGAATATAGGGCTTCAAACGACAGCTTTGAAACTTCGGTAGAAATGGTGTTTATCTTTTTTTAAACCCAACCTTCCGATTTTATCAGACTTATTACTACTTTGGCGAGGTGAAGGAGAGCGCTGGCCGGGAATCGAACCCCGGACTACATGCGTCGTTGGCGAACACTCTACCACTGTGCCGCCAAAGCACTATGACATGGATATTTATATTTCCTTTAATACTCTTACCTATTCATTTGTCAATCGATATTATAACATGTATTAATTGCAGGGTATAATAGTTAAGTGACAACAACTGAAAAACGAAAGCTTACTCATCACATGACTAAACCGCTAAATAAGCGAAATGCCATCTGAGTTGTGTAAAGTTTTTTTTATTGCACTTGTCATTTTGCTTTGTCATTGTAATACTTTCATACATTTCATCTATATTAATGTGTATACATGTACAGTGCATTGATTTTGATAAACCGCTGTATTTCAAAGAATTCATATCATTTACTCGGTTACACAAGAAAACACTTTATAGTATCTTCAAAATCATTCAGCTTATTTCGGTAATTGAATTCCATTGGAAGGAAGCCGTAGTCTTCGTCAGTCTGATTCAACAACCAGCTATATGATAATACCTGCCAAGTAGTATCAGGTGGTTCACAGTGGGAAACTCAGCAAAGCGTTCTAAATGAATGTGGAATGGAGTAATACAACGCTTTCTGCCTATGTTCACCCACGACTGACTAGATTATACGTCAGACTGTGCACAGGAAGTGAGAAGACAGGAATACGATCCATTGACCGATAAGATGACCCCGTCTAAAAGAT